GTATGTGTGTGTGTGTGTGTGTGTGTGTGTGTGTATACAGACAGTTCTCAAGTTTATATTCAAATAATGTAATAATTGATTAACAAGTTTATCAAAATGAGATGACATAATTTAATTTTAATTTATGTGTGCACATTTCGTGGTTTGTTTATTGCGGATTCGCTCTATCGCATTTTTTCAAAATCAGATTGGCCATGACACACAACTGGCTGATTGATGGATGAGCTACACGATCACGTTGGATTTTTTATTTAAAATAACATTTTACATTACTTTGCACCTGCTGCACCTTTGTGCAGCCCACACTGCAGGCTAAGCTTCCTCCTGCAGCTGATCAGCTGTTATATTTCTTATAGGCTTCGCCCTTTAAGGCTGTCGCTGGTGGGTTTATCCCGTCATGCAAAGCATCGCACTGAAAAAATTAGTCCACGCCCACCTGTTGTGTGGGTCCCACCCGGTCCGTATAAATTACGTTAAGAGCGGGTAATCAGCTCCAATTTTTTCTGATCAGCTGATCAGCTGTTCTCTGTGCAGGGATGAGAAGTGTGCGTGGCTGAGAGCGCTTGCAGGTGGCTGAGTACAGCGGAGGCAGAGAGAGAGAAATCATGACATGCTGTGCTCTTTTAGAGCATTTAGAGTTTAGAAACATTGTTCGGAATATTGCAAGAATGTTGGAAGGGTTTAAAATGCCTTTATAAATAAATAAATACATAAATAAATGCACACATACATATATATATATATATATATATATATATATATATATATATATATATATATATATATATATATATACTAAAAACAAACAAGAACAAAAAAACTACTTACTTGTATTACTATTCTTACTTTGCGTTTTTCACTTATCGCAGTACTTCAGTTCAGGTTATGGATCCACAGCGATAAACGAGGGACTATATGTGTTTAATTTATAACACTACATACACTGCTTTAAAGTTACTGTTTTTATTTTAGTTTTAATAACTTCTTAAAAGCACCTTTATATCTATCAGATCACTTGCATTTTGTTTCTACAACAAAACAGAAACCAATTGAATAATCTTAAACTTTCTGGACTTCAAAAATGTGATAATTTCACTTTTTATCTGCCTCTAATTGGCTTAGTCCTTTTCAGACACAAACACACAATGCCTTTTTCCATAAAAAAAGTTATTAAGGGAAACATAGATTGGAACCTAAAATGTATTTTTTAAAAACAAATGGCAATCTATAGCTATGAATGTTTAAGTAGCCTAACTTTTTCATTGATTAAACACTTGGAACTAGTTACTAACAGTGACATGAACTGGTTTTGACCAGTTCTTCATTAGGATAAACTCAGAAATCAAACAGTTTGGTGTATAATTTAAATGTAGACAAAAAAAAACAGTGTTTTGGTAGAAAACTTACAGCATTCCTGTGGGCTTCGATTGTTGTGAATTACAACCTTTTGGTTTGCTGCGTGAAACAACCTGGTCCAGTTGACTGTGTTGTAGAAGCAAAGCTGGCTGTTTTCCACAACGTGAACATTCCCAGCACTAATCTCTCTGAGGGACTGAAGCTGCAGTGATGAGATGCCCTGCTGCTTTAACACCAGCAGCGAGATCCCACTGAGAGTGCAAAACATTTGGAGGTGAGAGGAAGACGGGGCCAGACAAGAATAAGAGAAATGTGATAGGAGTAGGAGGAAAAGTTGAGATTGAAGCAAGAGCAGAATAAAAAAAGTAAACAGAGAGTAAACTCAATTTAGTCCAATTAAGTCTCGTAAAAATAAAAGGCTTAGATATCACACATTACTTTTAAAGATGGAATTTTAACTAAGATCATCCAAATGTTAAAAAATTATAGTTAATTTGGTCAAACCTTGACAATTATATTATTCAACATCTCATTAAATCCTATTAAATTGGGTGGGATCTGTTAGCATTTGGGATATGTATTGTGAATGACTACCAAGTATAACCACATCAACTTGTAGCCATAAATCTGTAAATCATGTGTAAAGTTGTAGCTCCGAAAAGCCAAATATTTTGGTAGTGACTTTTAGTGCTAATTAGTTGTGGATGCACAACGTCCAATGATTACTTTTTTAAATTTTCTCAAAAAATCTAGAAAACTCTTGCTTCCAGACAGATGGAGCTGACTTCAATTTTTCAATTTTTGTCAATTTATTGTCAAGGTTTAATAAACAGATCTTGCATGATCAGTTAGAAGTCAGAATATATGTTGAGAAAAACCTTTGTCTTTTACCACATCACATTTTTAGTCGAAATCCGTGAGAATTGACTCAGTTAAATCTGTTTTTTTTTTTTTTGTTTTTGCTAGGATTGCTTTGCTGTGGCAGACATCCTGATCTGGGTTGATACAAAAATACATTCAGTTGTCTTTTTACAGCCAATGATTGCATTTGTACAATCCAGTGACGTGCAGTCAGGGGAGGCAAGTGAGGCAGTGCCGCACCTGTCATCATGATAAGTAAAATACTAACAATGATAAAAGAAAATACGTTTGACTACTTGACTGTTCTATACAACTGTTTTATAAAACTGTTGTCTGAATTATTTCAACACTTCAATGGTCAAAATTGCGGAATTTACACATTGCCTGTTCAAACATGGAAGAAATGGGATGAAGCAGTGTAGTACTCTGGCTCACCTCTAGTGGCGCTGTGTCATATACGATATATGAAGTAGGCAGTTGGCGCATGCCCATTGTTGTCTCTATTTAGTCAATATACATGTTTGATTACACATGTGCTACACAAGCTGATGTTCTACAGTCTGTCTAATATATGGAATGAATGTGTGTGACACATTTTTTTCTTTCTAATTGATCATAATTGCATGGTGAAAATACACAGGGTGAGGCAGACAGTACCTTGCTGCACCGATAGGGGGCAGTGCTGCCCCATAGGGACAATGAAGTTGGTGCGGTCGCTGTGCGTACTTCTGTTACGCAGAGGGGCAGCGGTGTGTAGCAAATTGGTACACGTGTTTACATTTGTTTAGACAAAATGGAAGACCGTATCGCAAAACTAAAGGCTTTTCTAAACTCATCATAATTTTTCCAAACTCATTCATCTTAAAATAAAGGTAAGATAATACATTTTTTTGTTTGTTTTGTTTTTTTAAGAGACAAGTATGAAGTTGATTAAAGCATTATTAGATGCCTTCAAACCTCACCACACGTCACTGGTACAGTCATTAATTACTTACTGAAAGTTTGATTAGGATTGATTCATTGGTTGATTAGATACTTTGCTAACAAAGCAAACAAATGAACATGCACACACAAACAGGGTAAAAAATACTACTGCCCTTTCGCCTTAAGCAATGAGTGATAATTTGTTTATTTTCATCATGTCCCAATAAACACATCAAAGTTATGCATTTAGGCATATTTCTGATTTGTTAACACAACTGCAGTATTTTAAATTACTGAAAACATTAAATTCCTTTATTTTCCTTTATGTTTCCTATTGTTTAAAAAGCCTACCCTCAGTCCTTGTTCCACCCCCTCCCATTGTGACTCACACAGTTTAACTATGACAGGGGGACAGCGGGGTGTCAGAGCCATCATATGGACAGAGGGTAAGCAGGATCAAGTATGGGGCAAAGGTGAGAGGCAAGCTATAATTTATATATAGCCTGCTGTTTTTTTGTTTTTTTTATTTGCAGGCAGGTGCAGTAACACCCCCTTCTGCGAATCACACATAAACACACACATACACAAACTTGAAAAAAAAGTACTATATAATCAGCAAAAACTGGCATTGTTCCCATCCAAATGCCAATACACCGTTTTGGAGCACTTTTTTTTTTATTTTTTTTTTTACAAAAAAAATCCATCCATCCATCCATTATCTTTACCCGCTTATTCCATTTTGGGTCACGGGGGTCGCTGGTGCCCATGTCCAGCAATCACTGTGCGAGGGGCGGGGTACACCCTGGACGGGTCGCAAGTCCACCACAGGGCCACATAGAGACAAACGAGACAAACAACCATTCACTCTCTCACTCACACCTAGGGACAATTTAGAGTTACCAATCAGCCTAACATGCATGTTTTTGGACTGTGGGAGGAAACCTTACAAAAAAAAAAAAAGTAAATCACAAGTAATTATGTTCTATCAGCTGTGTTAAAACTACTGAGCTTTTAAATGTCAAAACAAAATTGTGACCAAAACATGTTCCTAGCATAGTGTTATTTGGAGTAATTTTTGCACTTAGCAACAGAAGTAAAAAGCAGAGCACTTAGTCCTAGAAACATGGACAAATTTAATAATAATTTACATTAAAAAGCTTCTAAATATACAATCTGAGTTGCATTAAATGTCATTATGAGACAACTGGCATTAGGGATGTACAATCAAGGATTTTCAAAGTTATATACAAAAAAAATTAAGAAATGGCTTTAAACAACTTGGGCAAAGTTTTACTATTTTCTTTTTTTTTATCAATACGATCTGAATGTCATACATCAAATTCAGTCAATGTTGATTTGAAATAAAATTAGTTTTATGCTCAACCCTTCATCCTGTATCTTTAATGGATTGTCTGAATGTGTATAGTAAACTTTAAATGCACATGTTTTGTATAATTTGATAATAAAAAAAAACACTAAGCAGCCAACAATTTAATAAAGTTATGCATTATTTGTCTGATAAATTTATACAGTTCACTAAACAATGACAAATGTAATTAATAGCACTGGTATAACACTTTCAGATACCTGTACAGCGCTCGTCCTCCAATAATTGCCAAGTTTGAGAAAACACTTAAGTCTGTCATGTTGTCAGGCCAAGACTGGATGTTGAGGTAGCCTAAATGGGGACAAAAATACACACATAGGTTACTATTACAGACAGCATAAATTAACTGGTGTATCATATTGCTCACTGGGATTTTCATTCCAGCCAAGTGTGAAGCAGCCAAGATGGGAATAATTTATTTAAGTTTGAGGCAAATTCCCAAGCCAACTGGAAACTGTTGGAATGCACCTTCCAGGTTGGAGGGGGGGGGGGGGGGGGGTTCTTTGCCTCAGACGGAGGAGTTTAAGTATCTGAACATCTTGATCATGAGTGATGGTAACATGGACCAGCAGACAGATCAACAAACAGGAGCCTCCTCATCAGTAATGAGTGTGTTGCTTCAGTTACGTTTGGTGAAGAAAGAGTTGAGTCAAAAGGCAAAGCTCTCATATTACTGGTTTGTCTATGTTTCAACATTCACCTATGGTCATCGGGCTTGGGTCATGTCTGAAAGAATGAGATCCGGATACAAGCTGCCGAAATGAGCTTCCTTCAAAGGATGGCTGGGCTTGGCACTAGAAAAAGGGTGGGGAGTTTCATCATTTGAGGGAAGCTGCTCCTTCACATCTAAAAGAGTCAGTTGAGGTGATTATGGCATCGGGTTTTCCCAAGCATGTCCCACTGGAAAGAGGCCCGAGGGCAGACCCAACTCACTGAAGGGATTGCATATCTGGATTAGGAATGCCTCAGGGTCCCCCGGAGAGGTGAGTGTCGCTGGGGAGAGGGTTGTCTGGGTTTCTTGGACCTGGACCTGATGCCTCCATGACTCTGACTACAGATAAATGGTAGATGAAGGAAACGGAGGTGGCAATTGTCCATTCCACACAATGACAGGAGAGAAATGACAATGAAGTGGCCTCACTTTAGAATTAGAGACCAATTACAACACCACCTGAGTCTCTTCCGAAAGCAGCCAAGCACTTTCTGAACCAAATACATGTTGTAGGCACGACAAATCCACAGAGGGTCTTGTTGTCAGTGGTTTGCAAAATCAATACTTTTGCATTTCCTGTCTCTGCCTTCCTTCTGCTGAATCATTTAGAGGATTAAATTAAAAGCTGGGAGGGTGGCCGTGGCTCATTTATGATTTTCAATAATGGATTCAAAAATATGAAATATTTAGTAGAGGAACAGTGGGTGAGTACAATTCCCAAGCCAACGCCGGATAATAAACAAAACAGTTGGCTATGGGTAATAAACTACAGCTATATCCACAGAATAAGTATAGGGGTTAAACATAAAGACAATGGAAGGAAAAATAAATAAAATACTAAGGAAATTCACAAAGCAAAAGAAAGAACACAGAAGCCAAGTTGTTGTAATGACAAAGACAAAAGAGTGTATGGTTGACAATAAGGGATGACAATAAAATACCCTGTTGGTGTGATAAAATCAACTGTATAATGCATTCACCCATAAATAAACAGTATCTGACACAATTCAATTATTGGAGTGATTCCTTTCCTACTACACACATAATTTTGTTTATCTAAAATTGACTTGTTGACAAGAGAGCAACAACCTTGAACAGTATGTTTATCTGTCTGTGTACATTGGTTTATCAATCCCAGACAAGAAGCAGAAGTGTCTCAACAAACGCCTGGAAGCATTGTTCAATGAGGATTAAACAACAACAACAACAAAAAGGACAATGAGGTTTTGCAAGTAAAAGGAGCATATTTTCCCCCTATCTTTTTCTGTTTTTATATATAATTTAATGCAAAAGTTATATAAATCAATATGCTTTTTTCTCCCTGTCATACATATTTTAAAAGGGAATTTATAGTGTGTTTACAACAGTTGCTGTTAGTTGCAGAAATCATAAATCAAATTCCTAAACCAAACAACTATAAATGCTTTATCCGTTTGTACTTTTGCCTGTTGTGTGTCACGTGATGTGCAGTTGAAAACACTGTGAACTTCTTAGCCCAGAGGCAACAGCACTATAGCAATGTTAGTGTTGTACTTGTCCAGACTAATTGCCTTAATGACAAAACGGCAATGAAAAAAATCACCTTGAAGTTCTGCCTCTGTGTTATTTCAGCAGAGTAGAGGTGCTCTCTGTTCTAGATAATGAATGTCATGATGGATATTATGAGCTGACAGCAGACATATCCTGTACAAAGTACTGTAAGTACTGATCCTCATGCAGTAAATTAAATTGTTCTGTGGTAAAACAGAGAAAAAAATACATATCACCTTATAAAGACATTGCCATTACATGTAAATCTTTCCATCTCACTGCTGAAACAACCTAGTGCTTCTTGGATCTTTAGGCAGAAGTAAGACGGAAAACAAGTTGTAATTGTTGTAATTATTCAGTTTTGCTTTCTAAAATATTCTCAAGTCAACTTGTTTGGCTCACTGTATTAATTAAATTTACAAGTTTAATCATGCAAATTGGTCTGCAATTTTAAAAAAAAAATAGGATTTGCAATTTTTTTTTAACCTCCCTGTTGGGAAGAAATATGGCTCCTAAAATTTCTGTCAATTTCTGTATTTATTTGTTAATATTATTTATAACTGTTTACATAAAACATCATTTCAGGGCGCTGCACAGAATAAAAAAAAAAAAAAAAACAACAAAAAAACAGGTTCAATAAAAAAGAGCTGCCTGTTGAAAGAATTGAAAAGGATTATTCAACTCTTTCAAAAGCTTTCTTCAGTACCATGTCGGCTATTTCCAGTGAGCTAGTAATCTAAAAGAAATAGACCTCGGAAATAGGTAAGCAAAGAAACAAGAACAAAACAAATGCACAATAGAAAATGTTTATGATGGAGCTGGAAGAAATCGACTGAAGGGAAGGGTATTTACACAGAAAAACAAGGATGCTAAACATATTTAACAGCTTTAAAAAAAAAAAGAAAAGAAAAGAAAACACGGTTACAAAGAAGAAGCCAAAGCAATAATAAGTTTTGAATCATTAGTCTGCATTAAGGAAGAGGATAATGCCAGATTTGTTTTCATTTGATGGAAGTCTATTGAAACATAAAGACAACTCTCTGAATAAAACAACTACATTGATGTCAGATAAGGTATCACATTGAATTCTACTCTGCTACTTTAGACCAATAAAGTGCATTATTCAAAGCAATAATAAAAGCAGAATTAAAGGCAACAAAATAAAAGTTGAGTATGGGATCAGGGGCCCATTGCAACGACCTGTTCGGTCCCTATACAAGCGCTGTGAGAGTTTAGTTCACATTGTAAGGTGTTCACACATAGTAAGTCGGACCCCTTCAGTGTGGGAGTTGGACTCTGCCAGGGCTGCCTGTTGTCACGGATTCTGTTCATAACTTTTATGGAGATAATTTCTCAGTGCAGCCAGGGGACAGAGGGATTCTGGTTTGGTGGCCTCAGGATTCCAACTCTGCTCTTTGCAGATAATGTGTCCTGTTGATGTCATTGTGCCGTGATCTTGATCTCTCACTGGAGCGGTTTGCAGCAGAGTGTGAAGCGGCTGGGATGAGAATTAGCACCTCCACATCTGAGGCCATGGTCCTCAGTCAGAAAAAGGTGGATTGCTCTCTTCAGGTCGAGGGTGAGGTTCTGCCTCAAGTGGAGGAATTCAAGTATCTCAGGGTTTTGTTCACGAGTGAGGGAAGAATGGGACATGAGATTGACAGACAGATTGGTGCAGTATTGCGGACTCTGTGCCAATCCGTTGTGGTGAAGAGGGAGTTGAACTGTAAGGCAAAGCTCTCTGTTTACCGGTCGGTCTATGTTCCTAACCTCACCTATGGTCAAGATCTCTGTGTAGTGACCAAAAGAATGAGATTTCAGATACAGGCGGTTGAAATGAGTTTCCTCCGCAGGGTAGCTGGACTCTCTCTTAGGGATAGGATGAGAAGTTTAGTTATCTGGGAGAGACTTGGAAAAGAACCACTGCTCCTCCACATCAAAAGGAGCCAGTTGAGGTGGTTCAGGCATCTGCTAAGGATGCTTCCTGGACACCTTCCTTGGGAGGTGTTTCAAGCATGTCCAACTAACTGGAAGGATACAACAGGGAAGACCCAGGGCATGCTGGAGAGACTATATCTCTTGGTTGGCCTGGGGATGCCTTGGAGTCCCCCAAGAAGAACCAAAAGTGGTGGCTGTAGAACAAGCTGTCTGGGCCACCCTGCTCAAGCTGCTGCCCCAGCGATCCGACTGCAGAACAAGCAGAAGATAATAGATGGATGGAAAATAAAAGTTAAGAGGCCAGAATTTTAAGCTGTTGATTTTTTTGTTTTTCAATTTTACTTTATTTATTTTTCTGTTGTTTGAGGGCTGTTTGCGTTTGTCAAACACAGACTTGTAACTGCATCAACACAGACTAAGTCAAGATCCTATATTATCAGTTTTCAGCACACAGGACACCTCGATGCTACCCTTTAGTAAAGAGGTATCATTTTTATTCACTCAGTAAATTGCAATGTTGTTTCATTTGCCAGTTGTCCTTTTACAGAAGTGTCATATCATTCAACAGTGATGGTATACTGAATAACATGTACAATACAATACACAATGAGGAAACAGCTGAGATGGTTAAAATAATCCCTACTAGCATGCAACATTTTCAGTTTGATTTTTGTTGTTGTTGTTGTTGTTTATTATTAATTTTAATTTGTGTCGTTTGTACTGGCAGTAATTAGTTGTTTTCTCAACAAGTCTGAAGGTATTATTTTTGCAATTAACATCACAAACTACATCCCACACATCCTGCATGTAAAACCCTGTAATCAATTATTTTCTTCTTTAAAAAAAAATAGTGGACATTTGTTAGCACACAACTGTGCTGAATGCCAGCAGAGCTTAGCGATGGGAGATCAGATCCATTTCCACTCATTCAGATCTCTTTGGATGATATCTATAATTGTGACATCATACCAGCCACCATTTAAATGGATTTACACTGACCAGTCAAAAATTGGGTCAGCGTATGACCAGGGGGAACCACTGCAGCTTCACAAGTTTGCTTTGAACACAGAGATTGAAGCATGATCACAGACATGATTGTGCTGAGGTGGTAAACAGACACACAGCACACATGATCAAATATGTCACAAACAAAGTAAATGTTCTACCCAGACACACAAACTGGAGTAAAGGAAGCCAGTAATGAGTGATAAAAAAGACCTCCATGGTCATTTTTACAACTACAGAAGCACAAGGCACAAAGCTTTTCTACCAAAATGAAGCATAAGCATCCACTGGCAACAGTGATAACTACCTTTCTGATGACCCAACTCATCTGTGTGCCCTGTTTGAGGCTTTGGATCATATGCCAGTAAAAGACTCATCTGCAACATAATGATCTGACTCACATCTACTCCACTTAATTCACCTACTCCAAAAAAAATAAAATAAAAAAAAATAAAAAAAAAATCACTCAGTTTACCTAATGACACAACCAGCACATGGGGAAAAGATGAAAGAGCAAGCTTGTCAAAGAAGACAAAGCCAAAAGTAAATATCAACTTAGAGGGAAAAAAACAGATTTTACGTCTTTCAACTTAGGGAGACTCATTTGTTTTCTGTTTATCTGACTGCATTAGGCAGAAACCTAAAAATGCTGGATAACAGCAGAGTGTGTAATCAGTGGTTCTCCAAAGAACTCCAGAATGAGCCAGCTTGGTCCAATCATTCAGTAAGTTAACAAAGCTGTTGAAAACTTACGCTGAGTCATTTACATATTGCAGATATCATCATATGGACCAAAATATATATTATAAATGGATGCACTCCTAAAAAAACCCTCCCAAATAATTAAACAAACTCCACCTCTTTACTATAAAATCAAATTATTTAATTTTAATTATCTATTTCGTATACTATTTCTCATCACCTGTTTGTAAAAATATTGATATTTGTCTCTATGTATCCATGGGATAACAAACCAGTCAGTGGTAAAATTTACCAAAAACAAATATATATATATAATGACCATACAAAGTGTAGAAAGGTTTTTTTTCTGTTATTTTGTTTGTTGTAAAATGCAATTAAACATTTAATAATGGACATATTTTATTATAATAACTAGCATTCTATTTTCCTTAAATCTTAGTGCTTTCCCGTCTTTTTGGCTTAAATTATGAGTAATGACTAAAGATTTGTGTAAAACATTTCTCAGTTTATGACATAATGGAAGTCACTTTAACAACTTATGTATTCGCACAGCATTTATCAGTCTGGAGATGTTTAATGAGAAGGTCCATTAGCTCAAATTCAAAGCTTAGGGTTACTTAAGTTGTTATTCGAGTCACAAAACTGAAAAACACACTTAAACTGCACGAGTTAAATGTCCACTCTTTGGACCTTTTAGATGAATCATGGTCTGGCAGATGTGTTTGAAGATTATTTGAAACAAAGCAAAAAGTCAAGCACACAGGTAAGAATGGACAATGTAGCTGTTCTGTGCTGCTCATTTGAAAGCTAAAGCAATGTTAGTGTTGACCCAGAGGTCGGAGAGGCAGGTTGACTGCTTCAGTCAGATGTCACATTCTCTTGACAGCTCAGAGAGAAGACAAGCTGAGCTGACACACATGTCTGACTACATGGCCACAGGTTCATGCCCCATCAACTGTTCCAGCACTGCTCCTACTTAACATGAGATAAGAAAAAAATAGCTATACTAAGAATGCATTTAAATAAAAATACCTGCCTCAATACCACAATACAATCATTTAATAAAAAAAAAGAATAATAACAATACCTTTTATATTAAATTTAAATCTTTACACAGGATTTTTACTCTTCCCAAATTCACATTTCTTACTAAAATTGTTTCAAAATGCCTTTGGCGACCTATTCACAGCACTCTTAAAAAGCAGACAATCATTGTATTTTATTTTGATTTTATTCTTTTTTTTTTTTTTTGCTTTTCCAATTTTTGCACTAAACAAAATAATTTAAAAAAAGTCAGAATTGTTGTAAATGTTATACATGTGTACATCATTTCCCCCCTTATTCTTATGCACACTCAGGAAACTGAATTACCCTCTCACAGAGCAAATTCAGGCATTTTTCTAGATATGGTCTAGAGCCCATGTCTGAAATCAAACTAAGGAACTTTGTAAATAATTGATCACATTTTATAAAAGGGAGAAACAAACCACACTAAATCTAACACGGGTGAGTCGGGTCGACTGGATGGGTTCTTCTTTGCTGAATCTTTTATTCTTTATCTTTGCCTTTTATCTATTATCAGACTGAAGAAGTATTTTGAACAAAAGACAAACTATTTCAACAAAGAAGAACCCATCCAGATGACCTGACTCAACTTTATTAGATTTTTCAATCTGGATTATTAATTATACATCAGAATTAAACACTTCCTGAAAATATAACAGCTGTTTTTATATATAGCTTCAGCTTCCACTAAACACCCCTGTCAAAACTGAGAAATGTATCCCAGAACATTTCACTAGCTATAGTGTCTTATTTTATAAATGAGGGTGACTTTCTAGATACAGTCTGTGATGTTCTGATGGCACTGTCATATGTCTAGGCTGGGAAAATGACAGCATACATGAAGCTCAAAAGTGGTGTTGGCATAGAAGAAGCTGGACGATTGCCGATGCGCGCCACGAGTTGGGGATCTTTTCTTCATGGTGCGTGAAGGGAGAGCTGGGACTGAGGGACTTAATGCTAGAGAGTCCCCAAGGAAAAAGCAGCAGAGAGACAGAGGACATTGAAAGATTCATCTAATATTCATCTTATGCTGAAATGCCTGTCCTTGGTGTGGACAGTCTCAAGCAAGGTAGAGGGTTGACTCGAGCAAACACACACATAGCAATACAATTTATGCACAAGAGTCACTGAATGCACAGAATACACTGAAAAAATGTTAGAGAGGAGATACAGTTGAGAATAACTTTTGATCTTTTTTGGATTGTTTTATTTATTTATTTTTTAACAATTTGCAACAGATGTACTAACCTGTGATTTCTCGAACAGTGTGAAAAATGTTGAGTTTTTCTGGGTCCAAGGCTTCAATATTGTGGTAGACATCCCTGTGAATTATAGAACTGTGTCAAATGGGAAGAGCGAAAAGCATCTCAGTTTTATATTGCAATGAAATCATATGCACAAGCCTTGTTTAAACAAAGTGTTTGCACACCGATTTTTGGGGTGAAATACACTGAATTACTAGCATATGAATAATATATTTGAATGCATATAGTATAGAATGTATGCATATTGGCTTATTAAAAATATATAATTTAAAAATATTTACTACAGACTTCTGCAAACCATTTCATAGCATGTTCTCTCATATTATATAAATATACACAATGGTATATTGTACTCCTTTACACTAAATTTTACCAACACACAGCTTCCATTTACCACATTATTTAGTCCATTCACATTTATAATATATTAAGTGATAATTGTAATATCTTACATCACTTTAATTTGTGTTATTCCATATTTTTATCTTATTTACTGCTACAACTGAATACTTTATAT